AGAGAGAGAGAGAGAGAGAGAGAGCAAGAGAGTACCTGTTCACCAGCTCATCTTCAAAGTCCAGTGCACGAGACTCTCTCCAACCTTCACCCTTGTCCATAATGACCAGATCACAGAGGGCAGAAGAATAATGATAAGTCGTATCCGTCCGTCCCACCTTTCTGTAGATTTTGCCGTCCACGTTAGAACCGGTGGGAGAGAAGGAATTGGGAATAAAGAAAGATCGAAACAGGAGCAAACGGAACACAAGTTTTGCATTGATGTGGCCCACTTGGAGGTTCTAGCTGCTTCACACCATCTGCCGTTCTTAGGAGGTTTGGATGACTTTTGCGTCACGGCCTTTCTTCCCGTTCGCTGTCCTGTTGTGTCATTTATTAGGGTGGAATCCGTTTTGTTTATGTTGCTGCCGCTGACGGAGGATTTGGAGGGCAATGCTACAGTCGTCATTCGCTTGGGCAGTTTGCACGTGCCTGGGCCATGCAATCTTATAATATTTACAGATGGGTTTTTAGGTGGCCCATGGCTTCCTAGACTTGCCCTTACTGCTACGGCTCCAAACGCAAGAGCTTGGATTGACATGAGTTGGTCCGAAATTTGCTATCGAAATTAATATGGCAATCTTACATCCTACATAAGACATCTTAATATAGCAAGTTAATTGAGATTATTGAATGTCAATTTTGCATTAGCCCAAGGTGCTCAAGTCCAACCAAGGTTGTTTTCAATGTGGTGCATACTTAAGGACAAAAAAAAAAAAATTGATTCGAAGTGTACATTTCAGGCATGGTGATAAAAAGAATGAAAAACACAGGCTCATAGGAAGTAAAAAAAATTGAAATTTTAAATATATCAAGAACTTATTAAGAATAGAATAATAGAAAAACGTAATGTTTCCTGCATCTTTTCGTTTCGTGAATGGAGCGTATAAAACGGAGACGTTGGCACCAAAAGAATGCTAGGTTTTATTAAATATTTACCGATAAATTATTTTGTACGCATTCATATTATATCTCCTAAACTCGGAGGGGATTAAGCAGAAGTATAACCCACGGTCGGTTACCTGGGTGCACTCCTCTGCTCATCTTGTCGCTCCTTTCCGAGGGAAGGCCGCTGAGCATGTCACAGAGAAGGCATCATGAGAGAGCAGCGTACAGTGTGCTTGTTTCAATCATCTGCTATCGAGAAGCAATAAATAAATCCGATTCCATCTTACTGGAAAACCATAATTTTTTTTCTTTTCATCGTTGCATTGCTGCAAACGATTGCGAAGAACCACGGATCATCACCCTACAAAATCCAACAGCAATGCCTCGTCTTCACATCGAAGTAAGAGTTATTCCTTTTCTGCCTTCTTTTGTTTGGTTTAAATTCTTACTCTAAATGTCATTAAATCTCACTGCATGTTTATATCAGAACCAAAGAAGACAGGCAAGCGTATCCCACCGCGGATCATGACCGAGAACAGCCTACGTGTCTTCTTTGTGCACAAGATAGATGTCGGGGCATAGATTGTCAAGCTTCCTAATGGTGGGTGGCAATGATAATACATTTATATTTAGTATGAAGGTCTAACTTTTCTAGTCAAAGCAACGCGGAAGCACGTTGCTAGGACCGCTCGGCCGAGCAGTCCTCCCATCCCATGTCACTGCCTTCCCCGCCACCTCGCTTATGGATATGATTCACCATACCGGCATCCTTTTACCCCAAGAGCTGGAGCACCAGCACACCGTGTCCCCGGTCCTCCCCCCGAAAGATCCTCTATATATACACAGCCTCTTTCCTCCTCTTTCCCACCGTTCTCCTCCCTTCCTAACTGCAAGGGTTCTGATATCGATCGAGCAGCAGCTGGGAAAGGAGTCTTTGTATTGGGAGGAGGAGATCGATGGGGCAGCCGTTTGGCGACACGACACTGACCAAAGTGTTCATCGGTGGGCTTGCGTGGGAGACGCAGAAGGAGGCGCTCCGCGAGCACTTCGACAAGTACGGCGACATCCTCGAGGCCGTCATTATCTCCGACAAGACCACCGGCCGATCCAAGGGCTACGGCTTCGTACGTCCTTTCCCTATTTGCTCGTGTGGTTATATTCACATCTTTGCAACTGAAGCTGCAGCGACGGACAAACGTGAGCAGGTGACGTTTAAGGAACCAGAGGCGGC